AAGGCTAAGAACGGCGCAGGAAAGGACAGATCTTTTGGTGACTAGTCACAGAGGTGGATACACTGTTTTAAGACTAATACCGACTTACTCCCAGAGTGTTACAGATACTAGTCAATACCAAATCCATTACAAGAAGGAACAGATAAGAGGCAATTAGAACTATTGTACAGTACAAGTTTTGCTGAAAATGTTTGTATTAGGGTATAAAATTAAGAGGTAAAAATCTGCCTATAATGTGGGCATTGGTGTGGAGTAGAAAGACAAGTAACAAGTGATGCCATAAACAAGCTCGAAAAAACCCATATGATTTGCTTTCTCCTAAAGCTTGATGACAAGGCCAATAATTCTCTAAATATAAAAATAAGCCTAAGTGTAGATTTAATCCAACATTAACTAATAAGTCTTGCTTGAATAAAGAAAAAAAATATTTCTAAGACAAAAACCCAGATACTGATTTATGCAAAACCATGCAATGTAAATAAACATAAAGCTAAGTACCAATTAATTGAGAAATACTATTAAACCTCCATTTTGGAACGCCTTCTAACCAATCCATCAGTATGACTGTTTTCATATCAGAGCTGTTCACAGTTTGTTATTTAAGAGAAACCAAAGACCCCAGTTAAGGCCTTACCATGCTAGATGCTAGCCAGCAATACAGACATGCACAATTCCTACCCCTAGCAGTACTGGCTATTAAAAAAGTACATTAAAAATACAGTATTGTCATTGTCATGTCTACTTTAGTATTTCTCTCTATACTGTCCCAATCAATAAACTCCAAAATTGTTTAAAAAAAATTCATGACAGAAAAAAAGGCTGGTGTAAAAAATTTCTATTCTAAAAAAATTCTGTATTTCTATAACCCAGTCTTCATCAACCCCAAGATTAAAGAAAACCACCAGTGACAGAGGTTTTATCTCTATTGGTGGCTCTGAACCTATGATTATTTACAAATTCTCATAAAACTCTTATTTTTCTGGCGTTTATGCCATTTTCAACGAGGCTCCCTACACTAGCTGCCTATTCCATACAAACTGATTAAAAATAAGCATATTAGTGCTATTAACATTATGCAGTACACCCCTGCAGAAGCGTTGGTGGATATGTACAGTATATGCCAAAATTTGGTATTCTGCTTTAACAGTATCATAACTTTTAAGCCTATGTATTTTACTATCATACATGTAGGCAGCTAATAATGAAAATGGAGATATAACAGTGTGAAAAAACCTTTTCGTTTAAATAGACATCATCTCTTCTGATAGCATTTTTCCTGGTGGAGAGACATTGACTAATAATGGAACACCTCTGCTATGAAGAAAGGCTGAACGAGCTGGGGTTGTTCAGCCTGGAGAAGAGAAGGCTGCGGGGAGACCTTATTGCGGCCTTTCAATACTTAAAGGGGGCTTATAAGAAAGATGGGGACAGACTTTTAGCAGGGCCAGTAGTGACAGGACAAGGGGTAATGGTTTTGAACTAGAAGAGGGTAGATTCAGACTAGATATAAGGAAGAAATTTTTTGCGATGAAGGTGGTGAAACACTGGAATGGGTTGCACAGAGAGGTGGTAGATGCCCCATTCTTGGAAACATTCAAGGTCAGGTTGGACGGGGCTCTGAGCAACCTGATCTAGTTGCAGAGGTCCCTGCCAATTGCAGGTGGGGTGGACTAGGTGACCTTTATAGGTCCCTTCCATCCCAAAGCATTCTATGATTCTATGAATATAATAGTTCAACATAATCCATATTAGCTTAAAAAGGATACCTCTTAAAATTCCAGCCTTCAGGAAAGCATATAGGTTCCAGTTATCACAGGAAGAGAAAGAGGAAACTGATAACATGCTAATGTAAATAAAAAACAGTTTAAGAATTCCACAAAATTTTATGCATCTTATTTTGGAAGTACAACACAGCTTGTTTCTTGAGGGCTTTCTGAAATTCTGTTTCTAAAAAGAAGAGTCTAACACTCTTGCTTGACAGCTCCAGAAACACTGATGGCTGACATGACTGAAAGAGATGGCCTTTACTGAACTCATCTGAAGCGGCCACTCTTACACTGAGAGCAACCAGAAGCAGCAAGAATTTCAAGATGCCCTTCCTTTCTCTGTGCCATTCTTTCTCCCTCCTCCGCCAAGCCTGGGGGCTCCCCAGCCTCAGCAGTAGCAGATTTCATTACTGGCAGAGTCCCTGTAGCCACTGAGCACCCTGGCGTACTCAAACTGCTGCACAGCTGATCAGGATCTTTTTGCGCCGACTAATCTTTTGGACTGGATTAGACAAACTGCATAGTCAGATGTGGTTAATGCTGATTAGCTGAACAGCAAGAGGCTGCATGGCTCTTCTTGCCACTGTTTTAAGTCCAAATACTCATGAGATGTTGTCTGAACACCTGAAGAATAACCCCTGTCCAGCCATATTTATCCCCTTTTAGAAACCAATAAAATAGCATTTCAAGAACTTTTAAAATGTTCCTGTATGACTAAACTTCAATGTATACAATGAAGAGGTATCAAGAACTGATCCATTTTGCTGGACAGTAAACTTTAGGATATTTTTTTAGTCACAGGACTAATCACTAATGGAGAAACAAGTCTGTGGTAACATAAAACTAGTCAGATCTGGAAACACGGTTTTAAGTATTCCTATAATAATCAGCTATTTTCAATTTATCAAAAGAATCAAAATCATAAGATTATGAAACAGCTGCCCTTTCCTTCAACACAGATTTATGAATCATGTAATAAGTGGTAAAGTTTTTAATTCCAAATTTGGAGAGAATAAAATGAGTAAGTACATGTATCACTTTCCACCTGAAATCATTTGATATACTCCCCCCACTTGGTATTCATTAAATTGGGTAGTATAAAAAGGTGAAATTAGAACTATTTCACCTCTAACTATTGAATTGGCAGGAGGAGGTTTAAATTTAAGCTAATGTCCATTACTCATTTTAACCACTGGATGCTGAAAATACATATAGCCTCCCAAATACCTTTACTTAGTCTTAATCTAAAATGTTAAAAGTATGAATAAAGATCAGCATCATATAAAATAATTCTATTTCCTTGAAAGGAAGTATAATAAAATTAACACTTTTTCAGCCACTGACAGACTAGAAAATTCATAATAAATTGAAGTCAACAATTCAAAAGGCATTCAAGTAAGAGACATAATCACCAATTTTAATGATCAGAATTCTATAATTTGAACAGCTGAAAACGAACAAAGGAGTGTCACTTGCTTGAATAACATTAGCTTAATTACTTGCACTTTGTACCGTACTGTTTGAGTAAATATACTAGGGTAAATCCATAACTTACCAATGATAGTACTGTGTTTGAAACGTTACATTTTCCCATCCTGTCATACTCCTTCATCAAACCATTTTTAAACAAACAGCTTTGTTTTGGGGTAGACTCCAGTGCTACTCCTTTATTATTTTTTAGACTACTTGACCACAGACAACATCTGGTCTTTTACTTAAAAGTCTGAATCAAAAATTCTTTAGGAAAAATATCTTTGTAATTACTTGAATTCAATTCACATCTACATGAAGGAGTCAGAAGGTTAGATCCAGAAAACAGTTTGACTGGACACTCACCATAAGCTTACCCTGTACAGATCTACTGAAGAAGATTTCTGATCTTGGACTTACAATAATCCTACTTTATCTGTCCATGACTTTTTCCAGACAATACTGAAACTATGCCAAATTATCTGAAATGTAGCCTCAGCATTTTCTACCCTTATAGCTGATCCTTTCCTCGACTTTAAATACACTCGCTTTTGGAAGCTGCTGCTGCTAGCCCCTGGCTTTAACACACTGTGATGAAGAAGTCCTGAGGAGTCAGCATATTCTGACAGTGAATTGGACAAGACGGAAGGACAAAAATGAGAGTGGAGGACAGAAAGAACGATGGCAAAAGAACACGGTGCAACCACCAATTTTTATCACCTAGCATTTCTACCAGCTTTAGGCAGCATATAATTGGAGAGTACAGCTTTCTTACACAGAAAGTTTAAATATTTCAATTTTATTACAGTTAATCTAAAAAGAAATTATGGAAGATAAAAAGCACTTGAACTGCTAAAGGTAAACGGTTGTATTGGGTATATGTGGCCATGTGGCAGAGTTTTGGTAAGCTGGGGTCAGCTACAGGGTGGCCTCTGTGGGGAAAAAGCCAGGTACTGTCCTGTGCCTAACACAGCCCATTCCAGCTGGCTCCAAAACAAACCCACCGTAGGCCAAAGTTGAGCCCATCTTGTTTGTGGAACCTCTGTGAAAACATTTAAGAGAGGGTGAAAAACACTGGACAGGCCAGGGGCGATGGTGCGGGGAAGAGAGTGAAAAACAGCAGAGCGAATGCCAAGGTCAGAGGTGGAGGTGGTGCTCCACAGCACTGGAGCAGATATTCCCTGTAGCTCATGGAGGACCCAGGATGGAGCAGATATCCCCTGCAACTCATGGGAGTGCCCACACGGGACCAGATGGATATTTCCTGAAGGAACTGGAGCACATTTTTTTCCCCTGAGGGACTGTAGGCCAAGAGAGAGACACCACACTGCAGTAGGAGAAAAATGTGACGAGGGAGGAGCAGCAGAGAGAAAATGCCATGTACTGATCACAACACACTTCCACTCCATGCCCCCTGCACCACTCAGGGAGTGGGGTAGAGGAGTCTAGAGTGAGGAAGTTAAGTTGAGCTTGAGAGAAGGGGAAGGAAAGATGTTGTTTTAATGTTTGCCTTTGTCACTACCCAAATTTATTTTATTGGCAATAAATTAAATCAATTTTCCCCAAATTGGGTCTGTTTTGCCTGCAACAGTAAGTAATAAGCAATCTCCCCATCTTTGCATCGACCCATGAGTTTTCTCATCCTGTTTTCTCCTTCAGTCCCACTGAGGAGGGGAGTGAGTGGCTGGGTGGGAGTTTGGCCCTTAGCCAGGGTTAATCTACCACACCAGTACATGTGACTGTGAGAACGATCTCTTAACTTACTAGAAGAAGTAGGTTTCTTTTTTTCTGGACTTCCTGTATCTTCCACTTCTGCTTCAGTGTTCTCATTGGTTGCAGCTGCTGCTTTTCTTTTTTTCTGGGGAAAAAAAAAGGCGGGGGGGTGGAGGGGGGACGACAACAAATGAACTCAAGAGCAGAAAAAAGACCACACAAAGTAGAAAATATCTTATCCTTACAAGGTATTCCCCAATTTTAAGCATTATTTCTTCATATATTATAAAACGTCTCCAGTTGTAGAAAAAATTTGTTCATATATTAATACAAGAATACTAGTACTAGGCAATAGACAATTTAAAAGTTCAGTTCCCCTATCTGGAGATCACATTAGGAGTTGAAATTTTAATGTATGAAAACATAAGTTTTTATGATCAAAACCTGTTTTTTTTATTTACATTGAATAACTGTTACAAAAGGAGCAATCTGAAAAATCTTAAAGAACGCAGAAAAACATTTTATCCAAAGTTGATGTTAATTGCTTTTTTAAAAGCAATTACACCTCATTAAATTCAAGTTTATCTGGATCCTTGCTTCTTAAGGCTTTCTTTGCACAGCTTAAAAGTAGCTAACACCCACTGACAGTACATTATTATTTTTTTCTAATAGCAACTACGGGTTCTGTTCCAAAGAGAGGTACTTGGGAAATGTGAACTCTATTCAAGGTACATTATCTTAAAACCTCTAAATGGATAGAACTGTTATTATCTGTGTATTACAATTAATCTTAATATTGCAAAGTATTCTTAAGGTGGTTATGTAAAATTATTTTTTTAAAGCCACGTGACTTTTGCAAAGGATGACTTGACCTGTATCTGTATCAGACATAGATGATAACTTGGATGAACACTGGAAGAGTTTATCTTTCCCTTTTTTTTTTTTTTTTAATTGTGTGAGACTAGAGCTTTACTAATACAGCTTTACAAGTGGCTACAACTTCACACAGCTCATGAGAGAAGGGGAGAGTGCATTACATCTTTCCCTTCCAAAGTGTTGCTTCATGATTATCATCTAAACCCTGCTGGGCTGAACAGATTGGTTCGATAATTACATACAATAACTGCAGTGGGCAGGTAACCCTCAGCTGGCACAGGGCAGCTCCCCTGTGAGAACTTCCATATGCAAACTGCACTGATGGAGTGCATTAGGTACATCTTTCCTGCCGGTGCACAGGCCTGATTACCGCCAGCCAAGACTCCAAGGTTAGCATGTCAGCAGATTTGTGATGCATTAGGCAGGAATAAACACAGACACTTTTGTTCATTCTGACCAAAATTAAGGAGGACTATTTCAGCGCTGTACTGTTTTTATATGAGAGATAATGCATTCCTCCCAATTGTACTAGAAAACATTTTAAACGCTCATCAGAAAAACAGATATCCAATACATGCTACACAAAAGCAAAATACATTTATCTTGTTTCCAAGCTTATTTAATAAAAAGTGGTTTCTTAATCTTGATGCAGTTGAATTACATAGCAGTAGGAATCAGGCAGCATTCATCTGACAAAAGCAACACCTGCGCATCAGATGCTGAACATTAGAAGGAACCACAAATCACTAGGATCCATATTTCTCCAGTTTAGTTTACTCCCAATATTTCCCAGCAACTCTTCAGCACTAAACAAAAGTAAGATGTGGTCCTTGCCCTAAATAATTTAGTCAAGAGCTCCAGATACTTCCTTCAACACCTGGTACTGTTAGCTTCTTGTTTTGCTAGAACTGTTATAAAATATCGCACACATAAACCAACATGCATTTACTATACAGAAAAAACAAAGCAAAACAAAAAAACAGCCTCCAGCAGAACTGTGGACTGTGTTTCATTTACTTATACATCTGGGGAAACTTGAGCCAGGATATAGAAAAAATAAAATGTTAACTTTTAATATAGCAGACATCTGTGACTTTTAGCCAGATACCAATACTGGAGAATGACTGAGATTCCGAACAACCATGCTTATATGCAGCATATAATGCACATCATGGCTCAATTAGCTATACGAGCTAAAAGCACAGGAGAATCCTAGATTCTAAGAATTTATTTACACAGAAGCTAGAAATATTGTCTCCTAGCTATGAAATAGCATAACTTCAGAACACCAAATAACAGTGTTTTATGGAAGTATTACGGTAGATTGCCCCAAAGGAACTGAAGAGTAGGTGTCTTAATACCTGGTGTGATTAAACTATCAGTAGAGCCAAAATGTCATAAACACTCTGCATTAGAAGTCACCATCTTCTTAAGGGTGGATGCCAGACTGCATTTTTCTTTTCCAAATTAGACATTAAGCATGCCAAATGAAATTCAGCATGTGCTAGAAGATACTGGCTTTCAGAGGCAAGATGCTACTGATCAGTGGTAGGTTGTCTTTATGGAAAGCAGTTTCTAACAGAGTTTGGAATTTGGAGCTTATCTTTAAAACACTCAGTCATCAAGTTGGACTTCCTGTCACAGTTGAAAATACACATAATTTTAATTAGCATTCTGTGTTCTTCCTTTCTTCCTCTGTGTATCTAAGTGTCCAGCTATTCTCAACTAACACAAATCATCTTTCTGTTCTCCTAGACTCTCATTAATGTCTGATACCCCCTGGAAGTAAAACCTAGTAGCTTGAGTTCCAAAACATATATTCTGGGAAGGAAGACA